TCAGTCTTTATAAGTCTCCTTTAAACTATGCAGTCTCATACCCGTACAACCTGAGAATCCACCCATTCTAATGTGAATTCGAGCAAACAGTCCCCGCCCTCTTTCGCCTTGGGTGCTACAACCACTCTCCACCCTCATCGACCTCTGGTGTTACAGATGATAAAGATAAAAATCTACTCTTGTTTATATCATTACTCAAATCCTTTGAGCACTCCAGTGACATCTTTCTTTATGTTAAGAAAGTTACAATTATCTCAGATGAAGTCTAGACAACTGTAAGGTTCAAGAAGATTTAAGTGATGAAATGTTTGCGGTTAACTATAGAGTTGAAGGCTTGAGTGTCTTAAGAGGAGGGAATTAGAGTATAGGGAATTCCAAATTTAAGGGCTTTGATAAGTCAAGGTTAAAAGACTTTATTTGTCTTAAAATTAATCACTTCAACAAGAATTGTTCCAAGAGGGGCAAGGGAAATCAGTAGACTACTCCATTTTAAAGGTCTTTAGAGCTTTTTTGTTTGTTCATATCAACTTAGACAAGTTTGAAACTAGGGTTGTGAAATGTGTATTTATTTGTTATGAACAAGGTGAGAAGGGTTACACATTGTGGGAAGTGGAACCTAGAGGATCATAATTCACCACAAACATGTATGTTAGTTTGGTTAGACGCTTAAGAGAGAGAAATAAAGACATGGAGGTGAAAGAATAAAAAACTATGTTGAGAATAATCATTTTGGGGGTGGAGGTCACTACTAGGGAGACTAGGAAGGAGGAGGATGTTAAGGCTCATAATCCTAGTTCTAGTAAGGTAAAATTTAAAGTGGCTCTTGTTCATCATTTGAATTGTGATAAAGTAAAGATTAAAAAAAAAGTATCATCTCATGGATACAGTTGTGCTAATCTTGTTATACTCTAAATTAGAACGAAAAATCTTCAAGGAAGTTTTTGAAAGAAAAGTGAGTAAAAAATGGCTTATGGCAATAAGTGGTAAAAGACATCACTAATGAAGAACCATACTTTTGGATTTTGTAGACTACCTAAGAATGAAATGGAAGTTTTGTACAAGTGGATGCAAATTCCTAGATCAAGGTTCAAGAATTGTTTGAACTTGATCAATTTCGTTGATTAATGATAAGTTTGGGAGAGAGTATCAAGGTGGTTGATAGTTAAATTAACATTATTATTGGTTTCAAAGTCAATGTGAAAAAATATAGAGATTGGCTAAAAAAAATTGAAATTTGGTGAAAATGCATTGAATTTGACATAAACATATTGGATTCCCGCGTCTCTTGAACACAACATGTTTTGAAGGAACACATTATGTCCCACTTAACACCTATAAAAGTGTCATTTTCTTGGCACGAGAGGCACACGAAGGAAGAAATTATGGGGAAATCCCTGTGAGAGAAATTTAGAGAGACAACAAGAGAGATTTTTTGAATTGAAGGCAAAAATTTGAAGACTTTTGAAAGTATATATAGGGATTGTAAAACACTTCTAAACACCATGAATTTGTGTGATTCGTATATTAATAATTGAAGAGATTGAAAAACCCTTAGATAGAAATTAAAGTTTATTTTATAAAATTTTAAATACTATTTTCTTATAACTCTTCTATTATCTCTTGTAATAACTCTTAAAGTCTAGTAAATTGAGATGCCGCTCTCTCCTACAATAAATCAATTTGGTTAATTTAGATAAATAATTTTCTGTTATTAATTGTCATATTTTCTCTTATTCTTATCATTTAGTGTTGTTATTAATTGTCATAATTTTCTGTTATTAATTGTCATATTTTCTCTTATTTTCTCTTAGTCTAGTGATTATGTTGTTTATCCCACCTATTAGTATATTTTTTAGTGTAGTTTCTTTTCTTTTCTTTGTCCCAAACAATATTTACCATGCTTTATATTAACCGTCTCTTTTCTTTGTCCCAAACAATATTTATCATGCTTCATATTAACTTGTCTCTTTTCTTTGTCCCAATCAATATTTATCATGCTTCACATTAACTTTCAAAATTCAAACTATCGATTTTCTTTTTCAATTTAGGATCTTACATCTTATATTAGATCTTCTACCGCTATATTATGGTGTCGCAACGGTAGAAGCAGTATAAGATCCAAAGACATAATAGTACTTAGTGTCTAGTTTAAACTGATTATGATGAATTATTGATATAATATTGACAATACCCTTAAACTGAAAGTCAAGGACACCACTAATTGTATGATCAATAACGTAGTTTAACTTGTAGCATCTACCAAAACTTCTCTAAAGGACCATGAACTAGTACTAATTACTCCCTTTTACTAGCTACTTTGCAATTAATTACTGCTCACATTAAACTAGTTAAACATAATCATCCAAACCAACATAACGTTAGATGAAGTTGGAAGAGAATAGTTATTGTAATTGGAACAACATTTATGAGTACTACCATTAGACTCAGATGTATGTATCCGAATGTATGATTAACATGTTACCAAAAGAAGTATTTAAGTTAACATAATGATAAACGTCATTTGATTGTTTTCTAAATCAAGCTTTTAAAACTAAACACTTGGAGGGTAAAGAGAGTGGCTGCATGCATGCTTTGATAATAAATAAAATAGATAAAAAAATAAAAATAATAATAATAATAATGATAATGCCACCTAGCTAGCTACATGAATTTGCATGAAGAATAAAAATGATGTGAGTGCTTTTCATTTCACGTACGGGGCCTCCCTCATTCAAGGATATTCTCATTATTTACTTGCCACGCCTGATTCCTTTTTTCTCTTTCATGGTTTTCTTCTTCTCCTTATTAATATTAATAATCATAATAATAATAAATGTCTATAATGGTCAATTCTAATGGTAAAAACACACGAGAGATATTTTGATGCATATAATATTTTAATCGGATTACATCTTAAGATTTTTGGTATTGAAATTTTTGAATACGAAGATTTTAGATATAAACACTTCAACGATTAAGTTAGTCAAAATTATAAATATAAAGTTTATGGTTTAGAATTAGATGTATCAGATTCTAAATATTAGTTAAATTTTATAGTAGAAATTTTAAAATTTCGAAATCCTATAAATTTCTTTGAATAACTGTTTCCTTAGATGAGTTTCAAGATATTTGTTAGATTTTTCTTATTTGATAGTTTATTATAAATTTGTTTTCCTTGATCTAATCTGACTCTAGGATGCATTTATTCTCTTGTTCATCTAAGTGCGTATGACTTATTTAATAGCTTGTTATAGGATGGTTTTTTTTGATCCAATCTGATTTTAGGACGCTTATGTTCTCTTGTTTGTCTAAGTGTGTATGGCTTATTTAATAGTTTGTCATATGATGATTTTCTTTGATCCAATATGACTCTAAAATGTATTTATTCTCTTGTTCGTCTATGTGCTTAGGACTGATATGTTCTCTTTTTTTTTTAAAATATTTATGATTGATACGACCTGATCTAATATAGATTGAACTTTGACCTAATCCATAACATATTTTATATTTTATATGGTTGAAGATGGAATGTGGATCTCTTTTTCATATTAATTATGTGTGTAATTTGCTACTTATCTCTTTAAAACTTAAAAAATAAAGTGACTATTATAATTCTAAACCATATATGGAAGACATTTTGAGCACGTCAAGTTCTTTTTGTTAATTAACCTTGCTCTCCTAGGAATAGACAATGTTGTCTCCATCAAGTTGAGTTGTTTTCACCTTTCCATTATGCAGTAGCCATTATCATCACTATAGGAGTGTGCTCATTTATCAAACAACTCTCAAGTGATTGGTGCTTCTCTTTGGAATTTCAGTTTTTGGTTCCTAGTGATGTAGCTCTAATTAAAATGATCTATATCACCACAACAAAGCTAATAATGTTTGTCTTGCATAGCAACAATACAACATCTAGCTCTTGTTTTATGATTATGTTTCTATTCTATCAAAACTATCATTCAAACAGTTATGCTGAATCCTCAATTTTGACTCATGAATCCAAATTCCTGTCATTTTGAAAAGAAAAAATAACTTATGATATGGTTTCAATTCAATTATGTTTGACATTGTTCAACCAACTATTTAAGTCAAAATAGGCCCCCTTAACCTTCAAATTGAACTATTAGCCATAGATTTTTTTTCTCCTAAATTATATTACATATAATAAAGATTATATAAAAATAGATGACAAACATAAAAACTTAAAAATTTATATTTATTAATCTAAAAAATTTAATATCGTGATATATGAACCTTCTGATAATCTATAAAAAAATCCATAATCTAGTCTAATGCTAAATAAAATAAAATATTAAAAGCAAATAGTATAAAGAGGATAACTTTACATATATAAAAAAAAAGACTAATAGTTTAAAACATTCTTTCAAATTTTTCTTAAACCACTAAAGCCAATTAATTAATATTATAGTGACTGATTTATCATGTGAGCAAGTTAGTTCATAGAACTATTTGATGTGATGATTGACTATCTTTGAATTATTTAATGGAATCCAAAATCTATTAAGGGATAAAAAAACAGTAATGCAATACTCTTATTGTACTATATCTTGTAGGATACTAAAGATATGCAAAACTAGAAATCTAGTGATGAAGGTGAGTGGAGAATAGAGACAGAGAACTATTGAATGTTACACTTAAAAATAAAAACTTAATGTTGCGTACTATCATAATCCTATTCACTTCATTATGCCTACAATCATGATTCTTGGTTCCATCACCCGCATGCTCTTTTCCTAACATTCTCAATACAATTTCACTCTCATTCTTATTCACATACACCTATAAATCTCATTCACCCTCCAATCTTTTCTCTCACTTCAACCTCAACATTTCAATCAAATTTCTCTATCTCCATTTCTCACCTTCTCTAACTTGCTTTTGAGTTTAAAGTTTCAACCTTTATCTCAAGCAAAACTCCTCTGTTTTCCTCTGTTTTTTTTTCTGTTACATTCAAAACATAACCATCCATTATACCCCAAATGGCTGTATCTGGGTTTGAAGGATTTGAGAAACGTTTGGAACTTAATTTCTTTGGAGATGATCCAATTATCTTCCAACTGGGTCTAAGAAAAATTGATTTTGAATCAATACAACAAGTGTTGGAAGCTGTTCAATGTACCGTGGTTTCAGCCGTCGGTAACTCTTACTTTGATGCTTATGTTTTATCAGAATCAAGCCTCTTTGTTTATCCAACTAAGATCATAATCAAAACTTGTGGAACTACTCAACTTCTCAAATCCATTCTTCCTTTAATCCATTATGCAAACCATTTAGGTCTCACTTTATGCTCTTGTCGTTACACAAGAGGAAGCTTCATCTTCCCAAACTCACAACCTTTCCCTCACACAAGCTTCAATGATGAAGTAACCTTCTTACAAGACACTATCCCTTCCAGTCTTTGCCATAGAAAAGCTTCCATCATGCCCTCAAAATCATCTTCACACTCTTGGCATGTTTTCACCGCACACTCTTCAATAACTCATCACAATCATAGTGATACTGATGTATTCACTATGGAGATATGCATGACAGAGCTAGACCTTATTCTAGCTCGCAAATTCTTCCGTCGACCCGGGGATGGAAAAACCGGCGACTCTGCCGGAAAAGAGATGACGGAGCTTACCGGAATCAATGAAATAAACCCAAACGCATTGATTTGCGACTTTGCATTTGATCCTTGTGGCTACTCAATGAATGGAATGGATAATGATTGGTACTCCACCATTCATGTAACACCGGAAGATGGTTTCAGCTACGCAAGCTTTGAATGCGTTGGCTCTGTTAACGACAACATAGTACACGTGTTGAGGAAAGTTGTTCAGATTTTCCGACCAGGTACGATGTCGATATCAACGACATGCAGTGGCTACAACAACGAGATGTTGAAGAAGATGGTAAATGCTGTTGAGCCTCTTGGATTGAAATGTAGAAGTCGCGCGGTGGATCAGTTCCCGGCGGGGGAGACGGTTGTTTTTCAAACATTCACGGCTCGCCGGAGAAGTGTTTAACGCCGGCGAGATGGCAGTTATGGGTGGCGCGGTGGAGGGGGGAAATTTAATTAAAATTTTAAAATAGGGAATTGGTGTTAGAGTTAGTTGAAAAAAAATGTAGGGTGGGTGACGTGGCGTAATGTGATTGGTTTGATTGTGGTGGTAAATGTTGGGATGGATAATGATAGTGCACCCCACTTAGGTTTGTCACGCATAAGATTTTTTTTTTTTGAAGATGTTTAGTGGGTGTAAAAGTGCTCTTGTTTGAGGTTATATTGGACTTTTTCTTATGTTACTCTTTTGTTTTTTTCACTCTACTTGTGTTACATTTGTCTTTTATGTTTTCTTTGTAGATTAGGATTAGGGTTTTAGATGACAAAATCACACTTTTTGTTACATTTTTCACTTGTTTTGTTTATGTGGTGTTGAGTAAAAGTAATAATCATTTGAAAATGTGATACATCAATGAAGCATGACAACTATGTCTTCAATTTCCTATTTTCCTTGGTGGTAAAAAGAGAGGAAGGAAGCACTATTGAATCATGGCTTTGTCGCTACTCATATTTGTTTAGAAAGCAACATTTGAGAAGTAATAATATGAATTGGGCTTTGTTAGAATAAATGGAATTGGGAGAGCTTTGAGATAAAATAGATTGACATTTCATTGTTTGCATCTTTCAAAATTGAATGAAGCATAGTAGAATGAAAAAAGAAGACGAGGTTATGCATCATGAATCAACAAACTAAAAACATGTAGGAACTTATTTAACTTAGTATTTCAATATAATACTTTATTTTATTCTTATATTCTATAAGTTGTTAAATCCTTATAATTGTGCCACGTGGATGTCACATGGCTAGGATGTATATATAACTAGTAGTATACATATGGATGGCAGATGAAAAGGATGAATATGTAACTAGTAGGATAAATGTAGGCTCACACGAATCAATTTATTTGATAATGTATATAATGTATTTTGATGAACCTGTAAATATAAAATGATACATTTAATCATGTAATGAACAATGATCAACTGAATTATATTAGAATTATCATACAAATGGATTTTAGTTACACATGAAATATGACCGGAAATAATTGAATAATTAAAATATGACCGAAATTATATTGTGATGTTCACTTTCGAAAAAAGACAATGACTCATAATATTAACACATCCATTCAAAACAGAAATTTTATCTTTGAAACGCGTTGTCTTAAATTCTATTATTTGATATCTGAATGAGTGAATTTATAAGATAACACACAATCAATAGGCATGTAAGAATAATAGCAATTTTCATATGATTATAAGTCAATATATTATTATTCACCGTTATTTTTAGTAAATAATCACGAATTTGATTTATTTAAGAGATTAAACTTGAAAAATCTCGAAGAAATATTTGTGTATGAATATTTTTTAAAAAGTCTGTGTGCTTAAAAGGATGGTTTTGTCTAAATTTGTGAGAACTCAAGAACAACGTGAAGAAAATAAAAATATACATAAAAATATAAAGACTTAGAGTGAAAAACAGTAAGAGTACAATTAAAGCAAAGAAAATAATAAAACCAACTTAAAGTAAAGAGTTTGCATTAACATAAAATGGTGCATATGACCATACATTTCTCACTGAATCATTGCGACTTGGATATTGGATTCTATAGAGAACTTAATGAAATTTGCAACCTTTATCACAGTCTATAAATTTGACTTATATATAAGTAAAAAATAACTATCGACAATGCTTACTTGCTCAACATTCAACATGTTCCCAACTATGTGAGTTACTGGTATATGCATGGTTTCCACATGCCTTCACATTTGAACTATCACCTATGGTGATTACTGCCATTAAATCTCTCAATTGCCTTTGTCAAAAGTTTCTAATCGACTCTTATAGTGTTTTGAAGAATCATTAGTTTGACTGACATCTAGACTTTCACTAAGTTCTCAACATCCAATGGATGTGTCGAACTTGGCACTTGTCGAAGTGCTGATTTGTGCAAGCTGTTTCAAGATTTTGGACATGTTTGAAGATAGAGTGATCCTAATCTTGTGGATCATTTCTTGAGACTCTTCTAAACCATATTTAATGCAATGTCAAAATTCATAGACTAAAAGTTACAAAATAAGAAATTTATTGTCAATCGAGGATAAACAATAATAGAGCTTCCACTACAACAAATAATATATTTCATGACAAAACTTTCACCTCGCCCGACCAAAAATTGAGGCAAAAAGTCAAAGCGTGCCATGTTTTATATTATTTTTAAATAAATACCACATATTTCCTCAGTTTCAAAATAAAACCGAGAGGAAAAATATTTCAGGACATGTTTCAAATCGCAACATTAGTCGTTTATGTTTTTATTTCTATAAAAGTGGTGTCTTTCTTTTTATTTTATTTTTTATTTTTAAATTAATGATCTATTCCTTCATTTATATTTAATAACCGAGAGATTAAATTATTATATTTTACTATAAAAGAACTCGTTAATTAAATTTTACCCTAAATCTAACTTACATGCAGCCGTTCCAAAGTCTTAGCATCATTCTTGGGGATGGATTGCAAGACAGAAGAATTCTTCAATCTTCAAAAAAAATATTTTTCTGTCTTTACAATCTATCTCACATAATGATGTTGATGTTGTTGTTATATTTATGTAATAACCTTCCTATGTTGTCAATCAAAGAAAAATTGAGAAATTTATTGATTTCATCGGTTGACAACATTGAGAAATTTATTCTTAAACACAATCATTCATTTCTTTTTCAGGTGAAAGCAATTGCCATGAAAACATTGGCTCAAAATAATGAAATCTCTCTGGGATAGATTGGAAGTACAAAAAAAATTATCTTGTTTGGAACAGATACCTTCTCATAAATACGAAACCAATGTAAATATAAAAAAATTTCTCTTATTTGTGACAGATAACTTCTCTTGGTTGATCTCCATGAATTCATTGTCAAACTCTTGATTTGTTTAAGTAATTTATATTGATATTTTGTGTAAATAATGTAAATATAAAAAATAAAAATAAAAACTTTTTTTCATCGGTTTTTAACAAAAACCGAGAGGTATGTGGCATGAATTGGAACATATTTTATTATTTTTTATTTAAAAAGAAACACATTTTACTTCAGTTTTGAATAATATCTAAGTTAAAATATATGTGTGTTTATTCAGTTTCTTCATCATCCTTAAACAAATATGCAGCGTCCATTTAATGAGTATCAACGCTCAAGACACTACCATTAGTTATCCTTGTGAAACATAAAATCCTCATTATAAAAGCATCTGAATATTTAAATTTGATAGTAGTGAATCCACAAGAAACTCAAACATTGTTGTGAAACCCTCTATGTTTAATTAGAGCACCATGAAATTTTAAAAAGTAAAAGTATCAACATGATAGATTGTAAGAGCGAAAATTTATTTGGATTTAAGGTTTGTGTTATTAAATAATCATATAATTGAATATTTATTTTATTTATATAACCTCTTTTTTGTTTTATATCAAAAACAAATGAATGCAAAAGTCATTGATGATATATTGCATTCAACATTTTAATTTCCTTAAGATCAACGAAACGAGGATCCCAACATTTCCTCTTCTCCAAGATATCTACCATTTGTTCTTCATCGACAACGACGATGATGAAGAACAATATATTTATTTTAATATTCTGTATAAACAATATAATATTATGTGTAAACAATATAGTTTATAAACAAATTAATTTATTAATATACTGTGTAAATAATATAATGAGTATATATATATATATATATATATATATATATATATATATATATATATATATATATATATATATATATATATATATATATATATATATATATATATATATATATATATATATATATATATATATATATATATATCGAGATAGTCGATATAGAGAATTGTCTGCCTAAAAGAAAGAATCGTGAGTTTACTCGGAGCAGGCTTCCAAAAAGCCTTACAGTAAAGGTAAGTCATCCTATTCTTATAATTAGCCTGAAGAGTAGCTAAGACGCCCCCTTCCCATTCATTTTTCCTTGGGATGGTCAAATTCATCTTTATCCTATTTTAAAGCACTTTTATCGCACATTCAGCGACATGAATTTCACGTCGCAAACCCTAACATTTAAATTTTAGAAATAAATGATAATCATGTAAGAACGTAATAATCACATCACAACCTTGCCACATGATATCCACGTCGCAAATGTTCCAAGGGTCATATTCTTTTTTTTCAGTCAACCTGCACCTCCAATAACTCATCACTTCAACGTCAGATTTTTTTTACTCCTAAACCGTTGCGACGTGATATTAAACCGTTGCGACGTGATAATCATGTAAGAACGTGATATTCACGTCACAACATAAATTTTGAAATTTTTAAACTTCCCTCTTCAGCAAACCTGACCCTTTTAGTTGTTTTTTTAATTTAAACGTTGCGATGTGATTTTCACATCACAACTTTTTTTTTAATCTGACAAACCATGTGATAGTTGTATACTTATTATTTCAATATTAAAAATTTTAGTGGCATGAAAAACACGTCGCAACTGAACATATTTTGCCGTATGTTTTTCACTTCACTAAATCACGTGACAGGATACAATTATTCTTATAGTTGTATACTTACTCCAACTCATAGCCTTTGAATTGAATATAATCTAATGGTTAATTAAGTAAAAGGCTAATTAAACCATTCAATTCAATTCAAAAGTTATGATTTGGAGTAAGTTAATCTCCGCTTTTATATATATATATATATATATATATATATATATATATATATATATATATATGAAACAAATGAAAATAAAACTATATACAAAAGAGTAAAAGAAATAAACCACCGAAGATTTATTTTTAAAAGGCAACAAGAACAAAATTAAATTTCACTTAATTGCACTTTTGGTTGTTCTAAATAATTAGGATATACAAATAATTTTTAATGACATAGAAATAATGATTAAAATAATTTATTATTTAA